ATTAGTGAGAGCGGCGTCCTGGGTCCCTCCATCAGATCCTTGCGTTACTTCTAGAAGTGAAGTTTCAGAAACACCGAATACTTGAACTAAAATCAGGACGACGACAGGTGTAGCTCCCCCCACTCCGTTTCCACATCCCACTGACGTAAAAACTCATCTGTATCAGTATTACCCTCAGATTTTAGATTTGACGCAAGGGCAGTAAGGTTTCTCTTTTTACACAATTGCCATAGTTTCCCCGCAACCTGGTCCAGAGGTGGAAACTAGAAACTCTCCATTCTATTCATGTAGAATGGAGTATAATATGCGACAGCCCGTCAATTCGGTAGCAAAGCATTCATCACAGAAGGAAACTACCAGTGGTCCTTGATGATTAGCATGTGGGATCTTCTTCTGAGGTGACCAAAAACTAGAGACTTTTCCCTGGCCAACGAATGTCCCAGTCCGAGAAATTATATAACTAAAAATATGATAATTCAATACCTCTGACCGCATCTGCCAGTTTCTTTGAGCCCCAGCCGAGGTAGACCTTAAGTTATATTATGCTATTGGCATAGTTGCATTAAAATTCCCTTGATAATTTTACAAGGCAAGACATTTTACTCGTTAGTGTATAGTCTGCTGTAACGAAATGAGAGACAAGCTGATGGCAAGATTCCGATGTTTACCGCAAAGTTTTGGACTCTGCCTTGGTTGCTGTCCATTATTGCCCTTACTAATCGTAGGTTTAGTAATGTCTGCTTGTCCGCTCAAGTAAAATTACTTTCTTCGTATCACACGTGCTCAAGTCTATCTTAAGGTATTCCTGAAATAGTTTTATTAAATTTGCCCCAAACGGTACATCATTGTATTGGAAGAGCTGTTCCTTGAATATGAATCTCTATGACTCTCCCTAACGGGTACCAAAATCTCTGCATATTCCAAATCCAGATTCGTTAAGAAAGTAGTTCTACGGAGAAGTCTTATCCCAGTTCTATCCCTATAAACAGACAAAGTGTCTTGAGGTAAGGAATCAAACGTGTTGACGCATCAGATTTGGGGGCAAGAAAAGTTGGATAGGTGCTGATTTCTAGTTAGCTTAACTTTTTTATTGATAGAACCGCGGCTAAGCAATTGAGAGACTGTCGAAGATCGGTAGTTCATAGATGGACTAATGAGATTCAGCTAGTGACCACGAGTCCAACTTAGGACTTTAGCGCCACTCTGAAAGGTCTGCCATTGATGATGAATACGCGTCAATGTCCATGCTGATCTACATACTTCATCTGCATATTTGGGTTGATGCTGTCTGGCCTTTTAGGCTTCAGTTGTTGCTCACTTGATCTGACTTCTATTTAGAATTGGCCTACTTGGTCAGACCTACACCGAAGAACAAGATATCAATCGAAACCTCTGTGAGTTCTCTGCCAGCATTCGATCCTCTCCCTTCTTTGAACCTAGGGGATAGAGTATTGCCACTTGCACATGTTGCTGTACACAGACCAAGCACGCATCCCTGTGTGCGACAATTTCTATTATGCCTTCCGCTACGTCACCTTAGATGGCTAGAATAGAACAGAATTTATTCATCTATCGTCATCAACAAGACCTGCCCTCGAAATGTCAGCCTTGGAACAACTCGTGAACATTAGTTATACTAAGGTTACCGCATCATCGTGGTGATGCGTGATCTGTCAAAACAGACTACATGGCCTTTAAAACAACACAATCCAGAGCGCTCTGCTGTTCGAGTGCCACCTATGCAAAATGTAACGTTAATCGGGCATAATGATATTTAACTTCCGTTATTACTGAACATTAGAACTTTGATGGTGTCCTAACCAGTGATGTTCAGACGTATAGTCCTGTTCCATAGTTATCACCAGCCAGGTGGAGTTTGCGACCACAAGCAAAATGTAACGATAGTCTATCACAGATGTACCTAATTTCTATATGTTGTTAATGAAAAATAGTACTTCAGATGTTTCGTAACCTGTCATGTGCATATTATTGACCTGATGGCTATTCCAAACCTTATGGAACTTGCTAACACAAGCAAAATGTAACGCTAGTCTCGCATAGATAAAACCTAATCTCTATCTGTTATTAACGAAAAATGGGACTTTAGTAGTTTCCTAAACTATCATATGCACTCTGACAAAGATGTTCCAAGGATATCACAAACCAGATAAAATTTGCTATCACAGGCAAAATGTAACGCTAACCTCGCATACGGTGTCTATTCTTTATCTGGCGATAAGAAAAAGATATACATTGGCGGTTTTCTAACCTGATATATTCCTAATTACACACCTGCTCCATGGTTATCACAAACCACGTGGAATTTGCTACCACAAGCAAAATGTAATGCTAGTCTTGCATAGATGTATCTAGTCTCTGTCGTTCATTAATGAAAAATGGTACATCGACTTCTTCCTAACTTCTCATGTGCATCCTTACAATATTGTTTCATATTATCACAAACCAGATGGAATTTGCTATTCCAACCAAAATGTACCGCTACCTCACATAGATGTACCCAATTTTTATCTTTTATAAATGAAAACTGCTATATTGCAATATTACTATCACACGCCAGATGAAATTTGCTATCCCAAGCAAAATGTACCGCTAGTCTCACAAAGATGTACCCAATTTGTATCTGTTATAAATGAAAAATGCTATATTGCTACATTGTTATCACAAACCAGATGGAATTTGCTATCCCAAGCAAATTGAACTGCTAGTCTCATATAGATATACCCAATTTTTATCTATTATAAATGAAAAATGCTATATTGCTACATCACTATCACAAACCAGATGGAATTTGCTATCTAAACGAAATGTAATGCTAGTCTCGCATACACTAACCTAACCTAATTAAAATGGTACTTCGTCGGTTTCTTAAACTGTTTTGTGTAATCTTATTATGTTATTCCAAGGTTATCACAAACCAGATGGAATTTGCAGCGCTAGCCTCGCATAAGATACCTAATCTCTATCTGGTAATAAGGAAAAATATATCTTGAGGACTTCCTAATCTGCCATGTTCAAACTTACAGTTCTGTTCTATGGTTATCACAAACCAGACGAAATTTGCTATCACAAACAATTGAGAAGAGATTGTTGACCATACCTTGTTTCTACGTTGTTCCAAATCCTTTCAGCGTTGTTATTTGTGCAACGGAGTTCAGTATTGAGCCATTATCCCAAACATCTTCATTCGTCCTTGGTGTGGACTATTACAAGCTAGGTCCATGTTGCTATCCCAAGCAACCTAATCCAATGTGACAACGTTATCCCAAATGTGTTCGTTCATCCTTGGTGTGGAGCTGACTGTCCCAAGCCAGGTCCACGTTGCTATCTCAAGCAACCGAGTTCAATATTTCAGCGTTATCCCAAACGTCTTTGTTCATCCTAGCTATGGAGTTGGCTATCACAAGCTAGGTCCAGGTTGCTATCCCAAGCAACAGCATCAGAACGTTATCCCAAACGTCATGTTAGGCACAGTTTGCAGCGCCGGTGAGGCATCCATACTAATATTCGTTTAACTTGCACCTAAAACAGATCGGTTAGTCGACAGTTACCTGATGGTGATGCCCCTTCAGAAAACCGTTTTTCTCCACGCCACTTTCTAATTTTGCTCCGCGATGAAAGGAACCTTCAGCCGACCGTCGGTCGGTATCTCGTTCGACAATGCACATCTAACCGCCAATCTTCTGTCCCGTTTTCTAATTCTAAATGTTCAGCGATTCCTCGTCACTGCTGAAAACGTAAACATGTTCGGTGTCTACAGTTTGGAACGAGAACAAGGAATGAAGGTTTATAAGCGGCCATAGGGGAGAAAGGTAGGGCGATGGGGCGCGGTGCCGCTTTCCTTCTCTGCGTGCGCGCTTTGAAATCATGGCGGTTGGGTACTATTACGAGGGTACTGTGATATGTATTCTAAATGTTTACTTCGACGAGGACGGAACATAATTGCTATGCTTTATCACTGTAATATGCGTTGGTCTGTGTTTTTATGTTCCACTTGGACTACGTTGAAAATTTTATGAAAGGGTGAATGGTTTATGTCGAAATTTCTGTTATATTTTCATTAGATTCTTTACAATTTGGAAAAGTTACTTCATTTTCTGGAATTTCATAGTACTGGGGTTGATGTAAGCTTCCACTACATTTCAAACAAATACTATTATTTTAGCAATTCTTTGCAGTATGGTGGACACCAGCACAATTGAAACATCTTAGGAGGTTCAAAAATTGTACATACATCCATAGATATGAAAAGTAGACCTTCTTTAATACCTTCAGTAAATGTAGTCTCAGCTAGCTCCAAGATAGAGCATACCAGAGAAATATTCATAGACGAGACATGCGATCGTTCGGGACGATGCTATGCAAAGCAACGTTCAACCCTGCTTGCGTCAGAAAGCATCGCTGAAAGGGATGTTATAATATTGTGTCTAGCTCTTATGACGTGTTTGACTGGTGCGGTCGAGCAGCTTTGCCAGATGGTCGATGCTTAGGGCAGGGAAGAAACTAGCGTTAGCGTTATCAAATTGATGAGAACTATGGAGCTTGTACTAATTGTATATGGGCCTGTTTGGCTGACTTGAACCATCTAATTTTTTGTCGAAGGGACTAACTTGAGCGAAACATAATACTCTATGAACTGATGACAGCGTTGCGTTAAAAGTGCTGAGTCAACCTACTTGACGCCATTTTTATAACAACTGTTAGGTTTGTAAAATATTATTTGATTCCGAAAATAAGCAGTTTCCAAAAGGCGTCATCAAATATAATGAATAAGAATCACCCCTTGGATGTTTGGCTCGATGATGTGTGTGTTTTGTGAACACCTTGTATGCATCATCAAGGATACATTTTCATTGTATCCGACTTTATTTTTTACTCATTCGACTAAAATGTTACGATTTGCGTAAACACGTTTCTCTGCTGACATTTGATGACCACCTACTTTCCCGAAAAGTATTTGCTTGGACTTTTTTCGTTTTCAGTTCTTACCACTGATGTCAGGAGGCATCTTATGTTTTTCGAGCAACAATGTTTGGTTACAAGGTATCAACAGGTCCACAAGGTACTACATACACGGGATATTCCTGACTGGTGCGGTCATTTCAATGACTGTGGGAATATCGTTGGAGATATATTCAAGACGCCAGTCTGGAAAGCTACACTTTCAGACTAATCATTCCATTACAGGTAATACAGATAAGTGTATTCAACAAGGTACCTGACCAAGGTTCAGTAGTGAGTCTAGAAAAAATGATGGAAGCAATGCTCCGAGAAATTTCGATCTGGACACTTAAAAATATGGGTGGATTTTCAAGCAACCGGCCTCGGAGCTATCCGATCCTAGGTCTTTCAGAAAAAAATACGTAGTAGGCCGTTTATGTTGTTACTTAGTAGGTACAATATCACTAAAAACTCAACTTATACAATTTCAGAAAAATATAGTTATAATTTTTCCTTTGAGGGTTTTGGTTCTTATGACTTTTTTCATTCGATTCAACCTAGATTATCCACGACACGTTTATCACTTAAACTAAGTTATGTCTCAGTGGACAGTTTATTCATATTTTAGAATATATTACTAATTCCACATAGGATATTGTGTTTTGTTTTATAGCTAACTAAGATGAGGACGTTGGGTAAAAATATGTTGAAATGAATGATGTTCGATGTTTTTATTTTTTTAAATGAAGTATGGTAAAAATTGTATGTTATATGTTACTTCAGGCCTCATTCTACTCGGCCTGAATATTCACAACACGCTAAATATTTTATTTTTTGTAACTGAGGTTGTTAGTATTGTGCGGTCTCTGAGACCGCACTACGTTAATGACGTTACACTTTCTGCACTACGGTAGTTGAGGGTTAAGCCTAAACTTTTTTCAATAGGTCTTTTTTTATTAATGTCAACATCTAAATTATTGAGGAGTATATGCTGTTTTGAGGAAAATCATGCGAATCATAGCCATAAACAAGAAATTGTTTCCAGCAAGCTTTGCCGGGTAATAAATTGTTTTAAGTAAACTGTGTATGTTAGCATTTTGATGGCCTATCAAAAAGATTCTTGTCAAGCAATACTCAACAAAAATGACACTGGAGCAAGTACCGCAATCTGTTGCTCTACAAGTTGATGGTAGTCGTATTCGGTGTTTCGCAGAAACGCTTGACTTTCCATGCAGTACGGTATTCGATGCGATACAAAGATTTAGAGGAACTGGTTCTCACTCAAGAAGACCTGGGCAGGGATGACGGAAAGCAACAAATGCAGTTGAAGATCGGCTTCTGAGACTGCAAGCTCTTCGAGAAGCGACACTTCCTGCTACAGCTTTGACTCGAAGACTGGATGACGTTCATGGTACCTACTACAGGTCCTCTATTGGATGTAAGTCATCGAAGGCAGCGCTTGGTATTTTCTCGAACTCATGCAGATTGTGATACGGACGACTGGAAAAAGGTTTTTTACAGACGAGTCTCATTTTACGAGATATTCACCTGATGGTCGCCTGAAAATGTGGAGACGGCGTGGCAAACGCTATGCTCAAAGTTGTTTCGCCCTCAGAGTGCAATTTGGTGGTGGTGGAGGAGTGATGGTATGGGGCGGTATTTCTTTGGAATCTCGCACAGATCTTGTTTCGCATTTAGGAGGACACCTTACTGTGGACATTAGAGAGTGTTTGGAAGGACATGTGGTTCATCATATGCCCTTTATAGGAGGAATTTTTTTTCCTAAGGTAAGATAATGCTCGGCCGCATTTAGCCAGAATGACTAGGCAATACCTCAACGATGTTGGAATTGAAGTACTAGACTGGCCGCCAAGGAGTGCGGATCCCAATCCCATTGAGCCCATGTAGGATACATCAGGAAGAAGGCTTAGGCAGAACTATGGAGACTTTCAAACTGTGGCTGCGTTGGAACAGGAGCTGGTAAACGAGTGGGAGCAAATACCCCAAGACACAATAGCTGTTTTTTATAACAATTTCTAATTATCAATGATTTCAATCAAATTTTTGAAGTTAAATTGTTTATGGTTATGATTCGCATAGTTTTCTTACCAATATTGTCTCTGTAACTTTTAAATTAAATTGTTTATGGCTATGATTGGTATGATTTTCTTTAAAACAGCATGTATTCTTCAATAATTGAGATATTGACATGAATCAAATAAAGAACTGCTGAGAAAAGTTGAGGCTTAAAATTCTCATACGAATACACACTATTCAGTAATCCCCTGTTTCCACATGGTGTTCAGAAATTTAAAGCAAAATGCAGCTTTTAGTTACACCCTGTATAACAACAAACAATTTCAATTTTTTTGCAAGATTGCAAGATCGGCAGTCAATAATGATGACAACAAAATTACCCACAGCTTCACGAAGAAATTAACGAAATTGATGCGAAATCTTACTCTAAGGGGGTAGTCTGTGGGTACCAACGCCTGGAATCTCTGGACGTGATAAGGGTACAGTTGGGCCTCATGTAATATGCGCCACACTGTTGCATGTGACACTTCTGGGACCTCTGCCTTGTGCTTATTCCCGGACTTTCTTCCACAATATCCAAGATTTCTTCTTCGGAATTTAAAACGCGTTGTGGGCAAACCCGACCTCCATCCACTCCACGTCTGGGGCGCAAATCTCCACTAGCACCTGCACGTAAAACAGTTGAACTAAATGTTTCATGATGTGGTATGTGCCTATTCGGAAATCGGTGAACATACAAACGAGCAGCCGCTCACGAATTTTGCCCTGCTTCTCCTTACGCTAAAACAATGTCCACTAACTCCTCTTCAGTGTACACATGTGTCATATTTATTAATAAATAACTAAAAAGATAGACTCGCAGAATACTTTCTTATTTAACTTAACAAAATCGACCGTTCTTCATTCAGATCACCCACGATACAGATTAAACCTTATTTATACGTTCTTATCAGTTTGAAAAAACCAAAAATTCCTATTATTTTGTTTTCGTCAGTTGTTTGGTAGAACATTTGCTACAATAAATTTTATTACTGCGTGTTCTAATATCACTACGATGAACGCAAGATACAGATATTTATTTTTCAATTCATTATTGAAACTCAGATTGATAACCTAATATCTGTAGGACTTTTAGTTTTGGTTAAAATTTGTCGGATAGGTTGCGAAACACCCTGCAGAAACCGTACCTATATTTATATTTGTTTTCATCTTTTAGGTCTAGTTTCCTGGATCTCAGCATTTATCTCCTGCCTATTAGGCCTAGCTTCCTTCTACTCTCGAAGGCTGAAGAACATAGTGAAACCAGTGCACCTCAAGTTGCTTCACAGTCTATTTGCACTTGCTTCATTTGCAATCGGCATTGCAAGTCTATGCCTGGGCTTTGAAAAGAAAAGCTATGCCCTTCACGTCACGGAAACCCAGTTGAGTGCTTCACAATGGATGGTTATAATTATTGCGGTTTTTATAGGGCTATCTGCATTAAGAGATATTGTGCGGCATGTAAAAGCAATCTGCCGGTGAACTGATAATATGGTATAGCTTGATCTAGACTTAATTCTTGTGTGAATCGAAATATACAGGGTGGCGCAGATGAAACGCATGTTTTCTGAGTGAATAGTATTTCGCAAAGAGAAGTGGGTTGACCTTGCCTCACCGCCAGAAGAGAACACAGGCAATGCAGTTTTAGCCATGGCACCGTGGACAACTAAGCATCGTCGGTTTGACGTCGAGCAATTTTTCCGAAACAATGATTCTGTAGTCACCGTGCAACGTTTATTCCGTCGCCAGTTCAATGTTGAACGCCAAGGGTCAATTCCAGATCGAAATACGATACTCCGATGGATTGAGGCATTTCGAACTACTGGATCTGTAATGAAGAGGAAGCCACCTGGCCTTCCTCGTACCGTTCGAACACCAGGGAATATCGAAATAGTGAGAAGAGCGGTCCTCGATAGTCCTCCAGCTCTGCGTATGTATCGTCGATCGTTACAACGCATTCTGCACGATTTACATTTTCATCCCTATAAAATAACGATTGTGCAAGAGCTAACGGAAAGTGATTTTGCACAGCGTAGACAGTTTTGTGCGAGAATGCTGACCATTTTTGCTGATGATCCTAACGTCATTATAATGGTGAGGTACGAAGCACACTTCCATTTAACCGGATATGTAAACAAGCAGAACTGTAGGTATTGGGGGCCGGAAATCCAGGAGAGCTACACCAGCGACCCTTGCAGAGTGAAAAATTGACTGTGTGGTGCGGAATTAGTAAGTTAGGTACCACTGGTGCTTACTTCTTTTAGGAGGAAGAAAGAGCAGTAACAGTTACTTCAGCTCGTAATGTTCACATGTTACAAAATTTTCTATTACGGCAACAAGTAAACATTGGAGAACTGTACTTCCAACAAGATACCTTCAGGCTAAAGTGTAACCTCTGCGCCACCCTGTACTTCATTTGAAATCAGAAAAAGACTGTTCCATTTCCACGCTTACTGGTGATAAAGTAATTATGTTTTTTGAAGCCTATATGACATGAAGGTCGCGAAAAACCATGTCACTCATTACCGTCTGCCTGTCTGTCCGCAAATCCTTGGCCCATCTATAACTTCGAAAATACTGTTCGGATTTGAATGAAATTTTTACACAAGGTTACTACTATGTCAAGGACCAAAAAGCTTTGTTGTTTTTCAAAACCAACCATGTAGCGACAGAAAAAAAATTCCAAAGCGGTTAAAAATAGCTCAAACTTCGTTTCTTGAGGTTTCAGAGGATACTGATCATTTTTGAAAATCGCCTTGGGGATAAAACATTGGAAGGTGGAGATCGTATGAGGTGGGGAAGGGTGTAGTCACTGATGTAAGAATATTGAATCCCTTCCAACCCCGGTAATTCTACCTGCTTATTGGACATATTTCACACACATACATTTCCCCCTACATTTGCGCTTGAAACTTCGCGTACCTATCGGTACACGCTTGCCGTGCGCCACGGAGTTGTTAATATTGCATCTTTGTTAGCAGATCAGAGGGGCTTATAAAGAAATAGTGCTGTAAGTGGCGCCCTCTAGAAGTTTAGCCATACAAAATAACCGACTCTTGTTTCTTATACTAGAAAACCTCCCTATACCGAGTTTTATGCCAAAATCTAAAATACTTCTCAAGCAATTGGACCGAGGTATGTTTAGGTCAATTCATTTAATGAGATAACTTGTGAGAAAACATTATATAGTACAGTATATCTAGTATACAGGGTGATTGGAAAATGTGAGCTATTCTCATTAACTGGGGATCGGAATTGAGCGGTTTCCGAGATATCGGCATTTCAAGATTTTTTAAGAATTTTCTGCTTATTGATGAATATTTTTTTTTTAATCTACTCATTTCTTGGAACTGAATTGATGGTTTTCTGGAAGCTGTGAAACTAGCAAATAATTGAGATTAAAACGCTATACCAAAAGTTTGCAACTGTTAGAAATAAAAGGCTGTTAGTGAAGAGATTTTGATTTTTTTTTATTATTTCGAAAATCATCATAAGTTATTTGAAATAAAATGTATGATATACGGCATACAGATTACTAAAATGATTGCAGAACTTCACGAGCTTTCCAAAACCATACAAATCTTGTTAACTGTTTCAAGCATTTGAAAAAAAAACAGCAACCATCGATTAGAGATAGTATAGTAGATTTCGTAAATCCAATTTTCACAAAACAGTTTTCTCGGAATAAAATGCATTGTATTTCTACGTGTCAAGCTGACGCGTTTAACTCCGTATCTATTCGGGTTTGCCCATCGGAGTGTCCAATGAGGTTCGTGATGCGTCATGACAGACAGTTTGTTTATCGCTTAGTACCAACTATCTTTGGAATTCAGACGTGTTGTATCGTGTTGTGATCTTACTAAACATTCCTGCAAATTGTCTATATGTGTAATGGCTGCTTACGAAAATGAAAAATATGCCGACATTATGTATTGTTACGGGTTTTGTAATGGTGATTCTGCTGCAGCACCGGCGTTTACCTGATGTAAACGTGTTTGATACTACTTACCGACGCCTTCGAGAATCTGGCTCGGTTCATCGACAACGAATAGACACTGGCAGACCTGCCATCCATAATGCTGACGAAGAAGAAGACATTCTAGAGTGTTTTCGAGTAGACCCCACTGTGTCAACTAGACAAGTGGCACTGCAACTAGGCATATCCCAATGGAAATCCTGGTTTATTACTCAAACAGCGCAACTTTATCAATACCATTACATTCCAGTGCACGCTATGGAGGAGGGCAACCCTGCACGAAGGATTGACCTTTGTAGATTCTTAATTCATGCCGATATTGAAAACCCAGAGTACCTCAAAAATATGCTTTGGACTGATGAATCGAAATTCGATCGTGATGGTATTACAAGTTACCACAATGCCGACTATTGGGCCCCTAAGCGTCAAAATCCAAAACAATTCAAGGGCAGCAGCGGTGGCCGCAGTAGTAGACTCTTCGGTCTCCTGATCAGTCGCCGTGCGCTGTGCGGGTTCGAGTCCCGTCCCAGGAGAAATTTTTCTCTTGGCTATGGATGTTGTGATTGTCCGTAGGTGGTCGATGGTCTCTGACTGTAGAACGCGGAGGTACCACCCGGCGGTTCTCGTAGGCGGAGCCAGAATGTGTGCATGTTGCATGCACACGTGTTCCCTCGCCAGAGTCCGTGCGGCGTCCCCCCTTTCCCATGTATCCCCCTATAGCCCCACGGTACCAATGGGTGCTTAGGCCTTAGGCCTTCGTGGTAGTTGGAGTATAAAAAAAAAGGAAGGCAAGCACCAGAGAAGATTCTCGTTAAACATTTGGATGGGAATTGTACATAATAAATTGAATGGACCTTTTTTCTTGCCCGACAATTTAAATGGCACCACTTATGAAAACTTTTTAAGAAATGAAGTACATGCATTACTAGAAGATGTTCTGCTAGCTAGGAGAATCAATATGATATACCAGCATGATGGCTGCTCAGCCTATTAGTTTCGAGGTATACCAGGTGTACAATACATCTGTTGCAGATATCGAAGAATTGAGGCAGAGGATTTTGGCCGCCACCGACGCGATGAAACGCACTCTTTCAACAAAAGTGACGGTGACCCAACTACGTCGTAGGTTACGTGCTTGCATACGTAACAATGGCAGGCAATTTGAACAAGATTTATAGTTCTTAAGTACCAACGTTGTGCTCGTTTCGTTAGTTCTTTATAAAGTACATGTTTTTCTTTAATTAATTAGATTTCAAACTTTACCGAGCTGATTTAATTAAAAAATTTAGTTGTACCTATAGTACCCTTTGTACGGTGTTTTTAGGATATGCCTGAAAATGTTAAATTTGAACTGTCTTCGAAAGCTCATGCAATTCTGTAATTATTTTCGTAATTTGTACGCCGACTGTCATACATTTTATTTCAAATAACTTATGTTGATTTTCGGAAATAACAAAAATGAAAATCTCTTCATTAACAACCTTTTATTTCTAACAGTTTCAAACTTTTGGTATAACATTTTTATTTCAATTATTTGCTACAGCTCAGAAAACCATCAATTTAGTTCCAAGAAATGAGTGGATTTAAAAAAAAGTTGTATCGATCAGTAAGCAGAAAATTTTTAAAAAATCTTGAAATGCCGATATCTCGGAAACCGCTCATTTCCGACCCCCCAGTTGATGGGGATTAATTTATCACAAATAACCTCTAGAATCGCCACTTTCAGGGAATAGGTCGAATTTCCAATCACCCTGTATATGTACATATCAAGAGCTATTATCAAACATTATTGATAAACTGTTTAACAGCAGACCTCCAAAGAATTGAGATTACCGTGTACGGACACCCTCATTGATGCCATCTGAGATAATTTTTTTTCATGAAATGCCCATTAATACATTAATAGTTCGAAGTAATTTGAGGAAAAAACAAAACGTATATCATCTGTCAAAACAATAACTTGAACACAATTACCTACGAACAATCGTAACCTTTATATTATGTACCCGTATATACATCGTGTTATACCTGGATATAGCCAACCTGAGTGTGAGGCCTCAAAACTGGCTCCTGACAAGCGTGCAGCGGCGCGGGGAGTGGAGCGTGCGTGTCTAACTGATTATTTTATCTAGAGTCCTTAGTTGCCCCCGCCAAAGCGTTTTAGGGAGCGTGTATTTTGAGCCTGGTGGAGGGCGGAGCGGCGTCCAGCGTTCATTTCAATTCAGTTTGTGTTTTAGAGAGTTATTGAAGCTGATGTATGGAAGTTAGTAGCTGTTACTTTTAAACGAGGATCTATTTTTTTTCAATATGTAGTCAAATATTGACACTGACATTCTTTTATACTCGTAGAATTTGTTTTCCTCTGATCGTAGCATAGTAGAAGTCACGAAAGATGACGATTACGTCATCATTTTAGTCTGTAGTAAAGACAAACAACAGCGATTTGTGAATATTTTTAATGAAGTTCCAGATATGTTAGACAGAGACAAACAGAATTTTATTGTCTAAACACACTGTATTGCTAACTTGCATGTATCCTACAAAGATAGACGATGTTTTCATGTTGCATGGTCGATCATACTTGAAAGATGGATAATTAGGTTATGTTAAAGCAGGTTAGGTTGTTTCGAATAATATTTTGGTCTTTTGCGTTCCTGTCATAAGGTATTCTACTCATAACTGTTTTTCTTCAAAAAAAAAACACTCCCCACTAAAATTATTATTAAGGTATCACTCAAAACCATTAAATAAAACGAAAATAAAAATAATCAGTGAAATAACCCAATTTCGCAAAATCATAATATAAATTTGTTGTCATTATGTTCCTGACATCGTGATTTTATCATCGACGTACGTCTATTGATTACTTCAGTACAATTTATGGTATGACGTAATAGTCATCTTTCGTGATTTTGACTATATTTCATACAACGTAGAAAATTCTCCTGGTGTTTTTCTTTGCTTAATATGACTTGGACTTCCATTGCATAACAAGTCAAACTTAAAAACTGATTTTTCCTGTAAATATATGCATATCAAAAATGTCATATGAAGCCATGATGATTAAAATACGTGTATCAGAACTGAACGCTGACTGTTCACTGATGCCAGACAAAGAACGCTCCTAGATACTAAACCTCCATGCTACACGCACTGCAGAAGCCAGTTTTTGCTCAGGCCCCACACTAACACTACATTCTCGAGTCCGAAAAACTATACCTCACTTGTATTTATAATCTATGAATGTGTGGAGGTTACGAAATTTTAAATGTGGATATTCTTGGAAGCAAGGCAGAAATGCTATCAGCTTGGTAATATTGTATATTCAATATCTTTAAATATTGCCAGCCATTTTTTGTACTTTCTTGTTGTCAAATAAAGTATTTTGTCACATTAATCATTAAGTGTCCAATTTTTGAATTACCTTATCTACTGAATGGTTCCTCCGAGCTGTAGATATTGCTGATACTACTATACTACGATTATACCTATTCCATATATTCTTAGAAATTATGTAAAATTGCATTGCTTCCTGTATTTTAATGGCCTATACGATTCTCAGAGTAGAAACCGTTCAAGAAACAATGTGTTTACTTTATATACTGTTTATAAGCAAATAGCAAAGATAATTGTTATCTGATAATTTTAGTCATTGTCCAGAGTGTCACAACTAGAATGTGGATGATCTCTGGTAGACAGTAAGTTTGTCAAGTGAAAGAAAACTACTGAATGTGTAAATCAAGGAATAAAATTATGTTCCTTACTATACTAGTTCCGACCTCTTCTACGAACGAATTGTATTTCTGAGTCTCTTCATGTCCTCTGTGAGTGGGTTCGCAAGAAGCAGTACCTTTTTAAGAAACTTAGACTAGAATCAAGGTTTTGCAGGAAACTATTCCAAATAGTATAGAATCAGAGACTGATAGGGTGGGTCCTGTAGACAAGGAAGTCCCAAGTACAATACCCTTAAACATTTATAGTACCATGGATAATTTCGGTAGGGAGTCGGAAGAGCTCCCCAGTACGTAGTAGGGGAGTGCCACTTCAACTGCCTCCCGGGGGAAGGGGGGGGGTTATGTGGTGGAGTAAGGGGCTGGGGGTATTTAAATTTTGAGTCCTCTCAATAACCATCCTCTTAGCATCGAAAACGTATTGTTTAATAGAAATGCGTCGACGGAATGTGTGGTTAGGTGCCTTGAAGTTTCGCTCTCCTCCTTGACCACACAGCCGTCGCGACAGAAAGCAAAATATTATCGGACTATCCCCCGGTTGCAGGCCATTTCTTAATAGGACAAGACAAAGTGGTCTTAACGTGCTTATCTTTTTAAACGATGTTGTTCAATCCATTATGGGAAGAAGCCTATTTTGTTTTTGTAAATACTGATGGAAAGCACAATGTTTAATTTGTCACACCATAGTTAACGTTAAGTCATCGAGTATTCACAGACATTATGTAGACAAACATTCTACCGATTATGATGACATTACTGGCGATGAAAGATGAGTGGGGATTGATGAATTGAGGTCAGCCCTTCAATGTTCTGAAGATGTGCACTTAGAGGCGATACTCAGAATTTCCACTTCTAAAACCATTGTACCAAATATTGGAAAATTTTGAATCGAAACGCTGTCAAAGATCATCTTAAGAATAAATGTGTTTGCGTCGAATTTATGTCCATTATTTTATCACCTGCGCGCTGACATGATCATACCAATTCAATTGTCAGCACGAATGCCACTCCGCTCATTTTCCTTTGGGGTTGGGAGTCGGCGAGATTAAATCTAACCACATCGCGGATTCGACTAGACTCGATGATAATATGTAGTTTTTAAGTAAATGAAGAAAAAGGGCTTGGGGTGCATCCTGCTGAAAGTCCCTGTTATACCGACTTGAAGATACAACGTGACGGTAGAATTCTACGATAACTTATACGTATGGCATATTCGTTTTACATATACTTTCAAACATCTAGTAGCCATGTGTCAAACTGACAAACTCGAATGAGCTTTTGAATGCAAACATAAAGCAAACAAACAGGGGTATTATTTTTATCTACACCTATTTGCATTGGCTGCTCTAGCTTTCAGTTGGTACGACAGAAACGGCGGAAATAAGTTTTTCATTTCAAGTTTTTTCAAATAAGCCTAAAATTTCGTTTTAACGTATGTAGGCTTCATTGGATTCTACCAAGGCGGTGACATTCTTCTTTCACGCTTTATTTTCAAGTCGGTATGTTAGGTACTTTCGATAGCATACCGAGCTCTTCTTGTTCATTTACTTAAAAACTACATATTATTAGTAAATTTAGTCGAATCCGCGATGAAGTTCAGTGTGACCAGCTCCCGGGCCATCTCTATTCGCCGAGCGCTACGACTACCGTAAAACCTTTATCGCAATGTTCGATGTGTATGCTACTGTCCCACCAAGCAGCCGAACAGTCAAACAGGTATAAATGCATTCATAGAAAGTATAATACTAATGAAATCGGACATCCAAAATACCGAGCGACAATTG